TCATTGAGTGTGTGGGTGAGTCATTAGTGAATGTAGGTGAGTCATTGGTTATGTTCAGTTATGTCATTGAGTGTATGCAGGTGAGTCATTGGGTGTGTACAGGTGAGTCATTGGTGTATGTAGGTGAGTCATTGTGTGTATGCAGTAGAGTTGTTTTAGTGTGTGCAGGTGAGTCATCGAATCTATGCGGGTAAATTGTTGAGCGTGTGTGGGTGAGTCATTAGTGTATACAGGTGAGTCGTCATGTGTATGCAGGTGGTTCATTGAATGTGTGCAGGTGATTTATTGAGTGTATGCAGGTGAATCATTGAGTGTGTGTACATGGGTCATTGAGTATGTGCAGGTGAGTCATTAGTATATGCAGGCGAGTCATTGAGTGTATACAGGTGAGCCATTGTGTGCATGCATGTGAGTCATTGAGTGTATACAGGTGAGCCATTGAGTGTATGCAGGTGAGTCATTGAGTGTATACAGGTGAGACATTGAGTGTATACAGGTGAGTCACTAAGAGATGGGTAAAGTCAAGATATTGTGTGCATGGTAATACGTACACCATATGTGAAATGATATTTCTACCTAGTCAGGCTTACCACATTTTGCTGAGAACCTATCCAGGGACACATTGCAAGCATTAAAGAAGGCAGCTGAAATATTCCACTTGCCCAGACTATCAGAAATCTGTAAAAACATTGAAAATGATGAGGAGTTTTTAAATCCTAGTATTGGCACCTATCTTAATGATTGTATGGGTCAGCAATTTAAAGAGTTATTCTTCAATAAGAAGGTCTTATCAGATATACAGTTTAATGTGGAAGGTAAGTTGATTGCTTCTTGAGGTCAGTGACGACTCAAAATGTCCAAAAAATATGCATTTAAATTTGTTTCTTGTCAGTGTGCATCAGTTCAAAAGTAGACATTCACAACTTGAAATAAAAGAAAAAAATGTCATTGAATCATATTTTGGAACATTTTAGTATCAGAAATAAATGTTTCCCAAGCCTATTCCAGGGGTCAGGGTTTATTAAAGCTATGATTCTGAATATTTTTTTGTTTAAATATAACGAAACTTACCAGAATATTGTTTAAGACACAATTGCATGGGCAACTTTTACATTGACTTGATTAGATAAAGGTAAATTTATATAGCATATATGCTTTAAAAAAAATCCATATCGCAATATCTTCTGTTCTCTGGTTGGTCCTGATATGCTTTTATACAGCTAAAGTTATAAACAATTTGACAAAGAGCATTCAGTCATACTTGATATTGCTTGAACTATAACCCCACCCAACATATATATTTACTATCTTGCTTTCTAAAACATGGTTGCTATTTCAATGTTAGTGACATGCAGTTATAATGACATTGTCACCAGATTTCAATCATGTCTACATGATATATAGTAATGAAGTAATGTCAGATGTAAAACAATATGAAGTTGAATTCTCAATTGTAATATAAACAGAGCTTGATTAGGAAATGTCATTTTTACTTCCCTGTCGACTTGCTGAAGGGCTCCATAGATAACTGCATGGTTTATGACAAGATCAGCAGCCAATGCCTTTGTGTATTTAAATGTGTGGAGTTTGATATACAGAACCATTTTCAAACCACAAAACAGAGCTAAAACTAAACTAAACCATCTACCTCTAACCTGCTATAATCCTAATCCAAATTTATACTTTGAACCCATAAACACCACTAATGCATTTTATTAGTCCCCTTTCGGACGAAGTCCGAAAACGGGGACTTATGTTTTGACCTCCGTGCGTCTGTGCGTGCGTGCGTGCGTCCGGACCTGTATCTTAGAAATGCCCTGACCAATCACAATCAAACTTCACACATACATCATACATGATATCATACATATGCACGTCAATTTGTTTCACGTTCTGATTCAAGATGGCCGAATGGCGGCCATTTTTGTGCTAAAAAATCATAAAAATCAAGCATTTCTCGGCTGTTTACAGATGGATTTTGTTCAAACTTGATATATACATTAGACATTATGGGACCTTGATGCAAATAATTTTGTTTTTCAGATAACATTCGAAAATGGCTGACTGGCGGCCATTTTGTTTTAATGAATGGGCT